AAACGGTAACTACCTCAGTTTAGTTTAGTCTCTTACGAGAAGTTCCGTGTGATAGTCAAGTGATGTGGCAGAAATCAAAAACGAAACAACCTTGGAACAACAAACGAATGTTAAACTTGAAAGCTCGCACATGAATGACCGCAAGGTGACAAGGTTAACGATCACCTCGAACGTGCGCTTAGAATAGCTTCGTTTTTTTCATTAAGAGAAAGGAATGATCGCTTGGGTGCATATGTACACATTTTATAGTCTCGCTTTTTCACAAGTTATCTCTAACTGGTTGCGTTTACCCTCCGCCTTTCGCCTGTTGAAAGTCGGCTAGGGTCTAATAAGACGACATGAAATGGGTACAATGAAATGTAATGCTACTTCATCGTTCTACCTACTAGCCCTGATATAGCTACTGCGTTAACCTTGTCAAGGCTGCGAGGGAAGCAGATAAAATAATTTCCAATAGATCACGCCCATTGTACAACGCGCATAGACTGTAAAACTAACGAGGAATTGAAATCGGCACACAGTAAGAGGGTTTACCAATGGAATAATGCGTACCACTGCACAAGTTGAATAAAGTACGGTAGTAAGGTGCTTATAAATGGTACTACTTAGAATATTGATCTGAAATGTGTGAGGCTGTTTCCAGAAAAGATTCAAGAGAAGCAGCAACAGCATTCATGGAACACTTACTGTGATTCATGCATGCCGGACAGACGGTGTTGGTTGACCGAGACAATTAAATCGCCAGCCTCAAAAGGGCAATTGTCACGAGCCTCAAAATGGATTTTTCGACTTTGAAATCGATCGCATAACCGTAAACCGAGAAATTGGCTGTATCAAATAGTAAACAGACAGGTGAGGAGAAATTGGGCGAACAATTAAACTCATACAAAAGTGAAGTGACCAAAAGGCTCTTGAAAATTATTCTAATATGCGCACCGAGTCATAGTTGAAAGCTACCAACGGCTATCTACACATTTAGTGCTAAAATTTTGGAAACTAGCAGGAACGGTACAAACAAGCTGAGATGAGAAAAATTTAGAGATTAAATCCCGGTGGTATTTGACACTACTTATGTTAAGAAAAACCAACCTCTGGGACAGGAAGTCATCCACAAACAAATGGAGTTGCATTGTTCTTATTGCCCCGGGTCATTATGACAGACTACCACTCTTGTTAATAATCATCGAACACTTATTAAAAATAGCCACGATGATCTATTCGGAGGCTCCACTCAATAAAGTAATTATTTTAGCCATTGAACAAATCAGTTACTATTTGTGCGGATTGTACTAACTGAATATCGAAGACTTCACTGAACGGAAGCTGACCGCTCACCCGGTGGTAGGATGTGAATACGAATCCAAAGAGAAGCCAAGATCATCCAAACTTGGTAAACGGACAACTCGAACATGCAGCAACGGAGCAACATCGAGAGTGCGAGATTCTCTGTGTGGATCCGAAGGCAGTGGGGAAGGAGGAGTCTCGTCCACATGGGTCCGACTGGTATCATAGACTGAAAATGGGTCATCATTCAACCAGGATGGCGGTATCGCCGTTCCACCTAAAGAGCGACGAACTGCAGAATCGCGTTTGAAAGACGAGCGATGCATCCGTGCCAAAGCTGGTGAAGCTGTCCGCATGTTGGGCCGACCTGACTCTGGAGGATTTAGTCGTTGATGGCCGGGGTCACGCTGATTGTCACGAACCGCAGAACTTTCACTCACATTTTCAGCTACATGATTCGTCTGAAATGAATGTTATGAGCAGGGATAAGGCGCGTTCATGTAGTGATTGACTGGAAGCATAAGCTACAAAATTTGGAAGCGTTTTAATGATTTTGTACCATATTTGTTGACTTCAAATGGAGTTAATAATAATAATAATAATAAATATTACATCTATTTTTATTGAATACTCTTGAACTTATAACCTCAGGGTCGATGCGATGGTGAGCTTGAAGGCTTGACTATCACCGCAACGCTTTTTAACAATTACTGACAATGATTATCCGAAAAAATCTCTGGTGAGTAAAAATCCCTCATAGTGTTCCGACTGTGGCCCAAGTTGGTCTTTTTCGATTTAAACGTTTCGATTAACCCAAAGTACCTGACCCACTCCCAAATGAACTGATTTGCAAGAAACAATGAAGCTGGAAAGAATTTCCGGATATCACTGGGAACTTAAAGCACTCTTTTGC